ATGTGTGAACTAGCCGTACAGCTAAGTGTACAAATTATTATTACTGTATTATTAAAATGTATTTATTAACTGCTTATTTAATGATCTATTTTGATGTATACTTTCGAGTCCCTTTAGGAATTCTGGCTACAGTCTTAAGTAAACTAACTTGGAAGCATATCTCACTAAATTAGTGGGGTTTACTTCTAAGTACACATGGTTAGTATCAGTTTGTTCCTCTTATATACTAAGCTTGTGAGTTAGGTATGCATTGCATGCTAATAAAATTATGAAATTATAGTGATACTGAAACTGTGTTCATAAAATTAATGCAAATGTTCATTGGTTTAGTTTAATTGTTGTCAAATATTTGGCTTAATCATACTCCTGCCTATTGGGAGTCTTAAAACAAAAAGATGTTCATATCTTGAACAGATCACATTTCTTCTTTGGGCAGGGGGAGATAATTGGCAGTAAAACAATTAAATATTATTTACAGTATGACTGGAAGAATGTCAATAGTAGTATCACCTGCAAGAGGCTGGGGTGATATGCTCTTCCTTGCTTTGTCCTAATGAAAATACCCATGCTCATCTCATACAGTGTTCATCTGCTTTTGCATGAGTAAGGTAGTCATTAATATTCATTATCTAACACATATTAATAAGGGTGCTTGGACATGAATATTTATAAACTTAGCTTGTACTAAACCATTAAAAGGCATTATTCAACCATGCAATTTTGATGGAGACATGTTGGAGATAATGCGGTATTAAGGCATGCATAATACGTTAAGATACTGTACTTCATTTTTATTTAGTCTTGGTAAAACATGAAGATGTACCCCATAGTAAAAATAATAACAAGAACAACAGATGCTAGTAAGTTAAAAGGAGAAGATGGAGGGAACTTAAGAGGCCGTATTTGCCTTTTAAAAATTATTATAATTTGTTACTCACTTGGAGTGAGTGAGTGAGAGCTGTCCTGGATGCATGTTCAAGTAGAAAACTGTTATCTCCCCAACACAGACCTTGCTGTCTATGGTCATGTCTACCCTGTAGACCGATTACTGCACTGCACAAAAATGTATTTATTTAAGGAATTTCTATGCTGCCATTCAGGGCAAAGCTCTCCCAAGGAGGATTACAAATGTAGTCTCTGAGAACTGTAAAGTCATCTAGTGGTCTTCTAGTTCAACACAGTGTGCTAAGTGCAGGATCTGTAATGTGGGGTGCAGCTAGAGAAGACCTGACAAATGGCAGTCCATCCTCTGCTTGAAGACCTCTAGTGAGAGAGATCTTACCACCTTCCAAGACAATCTGTTCCAATGTCAGCTAGCTCTTACTGTTATGAAGTTTCTATGAACGTTACATGAAATCTGCTTCCTGCAATTTCCATTCATTAGCTGCAGAGGGGAAGGGCCACAGCTTAGTGGTAGAGCATCTGTCTTGAATGTAGAAGGTCCCAGGTCCAACCCACGGCATCTCCAGGTAGGGCTGGGAGAGATGTCCTACAAGAAATGCTTGGATAGCCACCGCCCATCCATGTAGACAACACAGAGCTAGATTGACTGCTGGGTCTGACTCAGTACAAGACAGCTTCTTCCTATGCTCCTAGTTCTAGTCCTGCTTGCTGGAGCAACAGAGAATGTCTACTCAGAAGAGCCTCCTGGATCAAGCCAATGGCCTGTTTCCAGCAACTGGCATTCAGAAACATATTTTATCTTCTATGCGAAAGGCCATCATATTTGAAGACGGCAATCATGCCTCCCCTTAATCTTCTCTTCTCCAAGCTAAGCGTACCTGACTCTTTCAAGCATTCCCCATAGGATGTGGCTTCCGAACCTGATTGCCCTCCTCTGGACACATTTTTTTTACAATACACACAAAGCAATCCAATCACCAAACTAAAAATGGCTGCAGTTTAAGAGCTTAGCACAGCACTCCTCGTAAAATACAGATTGAAACAAGTTTCCAAGGTCCAATTAAAGTTAACAAAACTGGGGGCGTATGTACTTCCTTTGAGAGAGAATCCCAGAGATAAAGGAAAAGCACCTGTCTCTAGTGCCCACCAGTCTCATGGACCTTGACAGTGGGCCGGCAAACAGAATCCTCGGTCCCAGGAAGGTTCATATGAGTGCAGGCCACATTGGAAAAGCTAGATGCCTATCAGCATCTATCAGCAGGTAAAGAGGAACCTTCCTTGTTAGCCTCCCACCCTGCTTAGACACCAATCGCTGTTATTAAGGTTTTAGCATTTTAACAAAAGCTGGAGATGCTTAGGTTGGATTAGAGATGGAGAATTCTACATGTAGCACCTGCTTTCTGTTCCAGCTATGGCATAATCCTCCAATATTCCTCAGATGAAAATAGGGACCTTCTATTCTACATCAGTTTACACACACACCCCGGCACCCCATATACATGCACTGTCGATGGAATATGGAAAAAAGACGGGGCTGGCTGAGCTGCCCTAACCATGAGGCTTCCATCAGTCTGCCTTGGGTGTCAGAGAAAGCACCCGCTCCGGGTGTTTACAAGGCGGCACTTCCATGCCAGCAACAGAGCTGATGAGCTCAGCAGCAGCAGCTGATGCCCCTTGCCCTCCTCTTCCTGCAAGTCCCAATGTGCCACTGGACTTTGGTAATCTTTGGTAGTATTGCACCTTGAGCACAGCCAAAGTTTGGTGTCCCCAAATGAATCTTCTCAGTGATGGCTCTTTTCAATTTTGCCCCCCTCAACTTGGCCCCCTATGCTGGGAAACCACCTGAACCACCCTAAATCCAGCACTGTATGCAAAGAGAGTGCCCCCCGCTTTTCCACTTGGGAACTGTTGGAAGATATGAAATCCAAAGTGTGCTTAAGCAATGTCTTGAACTGGTTACAAGCTAAATCCATGCTTAAAGCTTTTCTTGAAATGAAACCTGACTAAACATCCATGCCAAATTACTCTGCATGATAAGAGGGCTCTGAAGGAAGAACCAATAACATCCAAAATACATCATTACTGAAACACCTGCTACTTTTGCTGAAAAGGCAACACCACTTCTTTCAAATAAACAGCTCAATATATATTTGCGAAATTATACTGTATGAACCACAATGTAATAGGACTCATAATTTGTATCTTTCTAGAATGAACCATAAAATGCCATGTTTTACTAACTACGAGACCCAATAATTTCTCCTCCTGATTGTACTTTTCTGTATTACAGGGACTTCTGGAATAAACATAACATGTTACACATTTTTTCCCCTGGTTATCAGTTAGATTTATTAGAAATGAACACACCGAATGAATATTTAGAATGTTCCTGTTATGAGTATGCTAATGTTCCCAAAGTGAGAACTTCTATAAAGCTATGCTTCTCAAAAGAGAACTTAAAGAGGAGAAAAGCCCCTCATCCTAGCTTTTCTACTGTAAGATTAATAACACAGCAATCTGGCTTTTGATCTGCAATTGTATTATCTGTTGTTAATTTAACTCTAATTCACATCATTTATTCTCATTATCTTAGATACTTTTAATGCCACTCTAAGCATTTTCATTGTTAACATTGTGTTTTAACAGTATTAGGATTTGAATTTCAATCATGATTTCTGCTATAATGTAACTTGTACCCTAAATGAGAATAATTTTGCAAGACTGACTAGAGTTAAAAAAAAAAAGCCCCACAAAAAACCCTTAGGGTCTGTTTCACTAAATACATATTCATGCTCATGCATAATTAAAAATAACTTTTTTCCATTGTGAACTGCAACTCCATTTTATATCTGCTAAATGCACAAACATGTATCAAAAAATCCACCCTATGTCAGCCTGTTATAGAGTCTCCCAAAGCCAGTTTTGTGAAATTTAATAAAGTCAAGACAGTGGGCAGCTGGCAGCATACTGAAATAGAGACTCATATTTCAAGTTGGTTCTTTTACTCCTTAAAATACCCCCCACCCATATATATCCCATTGTTCCTCCAAGGAACTCAAGGCAGTGCTCATGCTCCCCACCCAATGTCCTGCCACACCACCCATTTTATCCTCATGGCAACTCTATGAAGAAACATATGCTAAGTATGAGTGACTTCTTGTCCGGGACTGGCTGGACGAAGAGGAGTGGTGGGAGGCACCAGCTGAGGAACTCCCAGGGAAAACCCCAGAGGAGGAAGGCTCAGAGCCAGAGCGTTTGTGGTGGGACACCAAGGAGAGGTCAGAGGAAGAAGATTAGGAGGAGGGGCTGGATGCTGAAGGGCTAACAAGGTTTCGTGAGCAGGGCGAACCTGTGACAGGGAGCAGTTCAGACTCTGAGGCTGAAGCAGAGGGGGGAGGGTCAAGAGACTGCTGAAGCATCCCGGGAGTCTTCTTCTCCAGGTGCAACAAGCTCTCCTCCCCACCTGGTCTCCAAGACCATGAAGACCAGAACAGAGAACAGAGCAGTTTGAGGCTGCTTGGGAAACATCTGGGAGAGGATGAGTCTTAGAAAGAGAAGGCAGGGAGCTTCAGTCCTGGCAACTGCTCTATGGGGGCAAAACCTACTGAGAAGTGTTGCTAAGTTGTATGCCATTTCCTTGAATAAAGAGTTGACTTAATTGACAACTGACTCTGACTCTTCGTGTGGACCTGCATCTGATTCCAGCCCTGACATTTGTTCACAATCACCTGGTGAGCTTCATGGTGGACCAGGGATTAGAACCAGGTCTCCCCTTCACTAGTCCGCTACACTACCCCAGCCCAACGGCTATCATAAATATCCCGAGCTTTAGGTATCCGTTCCAGAAGTCCGTTCAACTTCAAAACATTTGGAAACCAAAGCACAGCCTCTGATTGGCTGCAGGAAGCTCCTGCAGCCAATAGGAAGCCACAGAAGCCCCATCAGATTTTCGGCTTCCAAAGAACGTTCACAAACAGGAACACTCACTTCCAGGTTTGTGGCGTTTGGGAGCAAAAACGTCCAAGTACCAAGGCGTTTGGGATCGAAGGCACAACTGTACTTGGCAAAGCATATCTTCACAGGATATCAGTACTCACCTCTCAAGTGATTTGCCCAAGGGTGTGTCTATGCTACCTATCCTCTTGGTCTCAGGAGCTGGCTCTGCCATCTGTATCTCTTGTGGAGTCACTTTTCAGAGTTCTGCTTCCGGGTTTTGTTGCTGGGAAGTGGCCATGTCATTAAAGAGATCCTCACTTCCCTCATAATGTTCTTCAAAATGTTTGTAGAGCCATCACAAGGAACAGAGCTGTGGGGGATAAGAAAGAATGAGGAACAGAATCCTTTGTATCAGGGATGGGGAGCTTGTGGCCCTCCAGATGTTGGTGGACTCTAACCTTTATCAGCATGGTCAAAGATAATGGAACTGTAAAAGTCCAGCAACATCTGCATTTCCCCCTTTCCTGCCTTATAAGCTATTCTATGGAGATGTGGAAGGAAAGGAGCTTGCTGTCCCTTCATATTCTGGCAGCATTTCTTCAACAGGTGTCAATCTCAAAAAATAAAGCCGGGTATCACTTACACACATACACATACACACACACACACACAACAAAGATTTGAGTTATCCTGAACCATGCAGGAATCAACAGCAATAAAGTCTCACTATTGAAAAAACTTGAGAGCCCCCTAATCAAAATACGATATAAATTACTGGGAAATGATTTAGACATAAACATATCTCCTTTAAGCGAGAAAAAATGTTTTAAAAGAACATACAGAGCTCTAACCCTTTAGAGAAATTAATAAATCAATCTCTTTTAGCCTCTGACTGTTAAATTAATATCTTTACTAATTATCTCTTGCTAGGGAATCTTTGATCTTCTTTGGGTCAAGCTTAAGTTAAGGAGGGTCACAGCAGTGAATAATTCCTTTAACTGATGACAAATATCCATCAGAGTCATTGGAAAATTAGATTTTCCCCTCTGCCAGCTGGACTACTTTTTTTCCCTCACCAGGTAAGCACTCCTCTCCATTCTGAAAGCTTACAAAATGAGATACTGTCAGGTTGTGTCAAAATATATTACATCCTTACCACCCTGTTGTAATGATGTACTCAGTGCATGGACCGTTTGATGAGCAGGCCTGTCAGGGTCTGCATGACAGAAGCAGCTCAGTAGCTTTCTGGCGGGTGAGTCGCTGTTGCTGACAGGGGTGGTGGGTGGTGGGGAGAGGCAAGGCAACTGGGAGGTTGGCATGGTGCAAACACACTGTCAGGAACCCCTAACTGGCTCCGCTGGTGTGTTTGCCCTCCACCAACTTCCTTGTCACCTCACCTCTCCCCCTGCTGCTGAGCAACAGCAAGCCCTCCTGCCACGGAGGTACCATAAGTGGCTCCACCCTGCTCAGCAAGCCACTTTGGTAGGAGGATGTCCATGTTCATATCGTACACCCGTCTCTTTTGAGACAGGGGTGGGTTGCTAATGAATACGATGATAATGAATAAATATATATTCATTTGGGTGCACCTAGGCTGCCTTTTGGGTGCTGCCCACAGGGTACCACATATGAGGAATGGCCCAAACTGTACAGTTGATCGCACAGAACAAACCTATCCATTTCTTTTTCTTGTTTAGAACCAGTGATTTAAGGGACAGAAACAATTTCCATGGATTCCTGAAAAACATTAATAAATAGATATTTGATCTTCTGTCTTCCTTTGTCTCATTATCATCTGATGCACACAAATACCAAGAGTTTTGTCACTGCAAGCTTCTGAAATGTTGGCTTAATGTAAACAGGATTCTGTAATGTTACTTTCAGGATGACCAAATTTTGATTAGATTATTTACTCCTGACTTGCTAAATGGATAAAATGTAGACAAGTCATTTCTACAATCACAGATTTACTTTTGGCTAGCCTGATTTCCACTACTTTCAACTTTTGCTTCTCCGTTATTAAACAGGGAAGCGGGAGCCATGAACCAACATTGACATAGCTGTAAAAATGTTTGGGGAGGTTGCAGAAACAAATGGTTTTATATTTCTGACACCTTCTGAGACACTTTTTTTTCTTTTTCTGTTTTTTTTTTATAAGAACGATGAAGAAGAGAGTGGTAGCGATAAGATTTATTAGATCATTTTCACTCCACTGACAATGCCTTATATGTGGTTAAAATACAGATAAAGGAACCCTATGCATAATGTAAAGCAGAAGTCCAATAAATAAAACAAAAGCTCCACCAAGAGTATGAATGCAGCAATTTGAAATTTTAGGGAAAAGCTCTGTTAACAAAAGGAAGTTGATTAAGGTTCATTAAAGTGATGTCATGCAGTAATAAGTCTCAGAGACAAGCATGTAGGTAAATGTGGTGAGAGGGTAGACGGTGTTATTTGCTTCCGTGTAGGAGTTCTGTATGAGAGATCTTTCTGTAGCAAATGAGGTGGCAAATGATATCCAGAATAATGACTTTGGAATAGCTCTGAGCTGCTATCCCAATAAAAGATAACATAGACAACTGTATCTGCAATATAGGCTGGAGATTTCTGCATGTTCATTCTGGGCAAATGCTATGAATAGTCTTGTATTTTTTTTATATACTGCAGATGTTACCATACACATGGTTGAGACAGGGCAGTGACAGGTCGCCCGATTGCTCAGAAGTTTGATCCAGAAAGCTTTCTAAGGAGCCAAGGAAATGATATCACCTGATTTGATCTGTTCTTTTGGCGGAAGACCCCAGCAGGGGTGCCAACTTGAATGAAATATTGGGGGGGGGGCATGTAAGCCCTGCCCCACATAACCAATCACATGACACAGCACACACACACACACACACCATTTGAATGTCAATGGCCATTAACTGGGGGGGGGGCTCAATTTTTTTGGGGGGGGGCTAAGAAAGTTGGTTCCTATGGACCCCAACAACTAAATTGGGGGTCATTGAGGCTTGAAACCATCACGTGTAATGGACTTGGAGTGGGGAAGCCTCTGGAAACCAGAGCCCCATGGAGACAGGCTGAGAATTTCAACTTTAACAATTACCTGAGCTGTTGAGGGGATTGAAATAATAATAATAATAATAATAATAATAATAATAATAATAATAAAATTTTATTTATATCCCGCCCTCCCCAGCCGAAGCTGGGCTCAGGGCGGCTAACAACAATCAAAATAGTCCAACATTCTAAAAACATTCCTTATAAAATTAATTAAATCAAATTAAAATCAAATTAATGGCAACCATCAAGCAAAATTCTGTGCAGATTGCCATAGGAGGGGGCCAGGCTGCGCCCTGACCAAAGGCCTGGTGGAACAGCTCTGTCTTGCAGGCCCTGCGGAAGGATGTCAGGTCCTGCAGGGCCCTGGTCTCTTGGGACAGAGCTTGAATTGAGTTTGAATTGATTCAAACTATTTATTGAAAATGCATTTAGTCTTTAGGATAGAAATCACCTCCAAAAAACAAGCAGTGTTGAAAACTTCAGGACTGAATTGCTTCTAATTAGTACATACCGGTAATTATTTTAGCTATTCTTTTCCCACCCCGTTCAGATAGTGATCCTACAACCTCATCACTTTTTTTTGTTCTAAGATTTGTTATATGCGAAGGAATCTTTTGTTACTAAGGCTGAATCAAATACTATTTGCTACCTAAGATATATTACTAACTGCTATTAAAGATTTCCTTTCTAGCTGCACAGCAGCTGACCAAACAATGCATAAGGATCTACAGTGGTACCTCGGGTTAAGTACTTAATTCATTCCGGAGGTCCGTTCTTAACCTGAAGCACCACTTTAGCTAATGGGGCCTCCCGCTGCCGCCGCACCGCCGGAGCACAATTTCTGTTCTCATCCTGAAGCAAAGTTCTTAACCCGAGGTACTATTTCTGGGTTAGCGGAGTCTGTAAACTGAAGCGTATGTAACCTGAAGTGTATGTAACCCGAGGTACCACTGTACATACAAATATTATAAAATCATAAATCTGTAGGCTTCTCATGGCTTCATGACTCGAGTGGGTTCTTAATACATTTATAATATACAGTACTGACATATTCATAATATAATCTTAGACTGAAAATTACAACAAACAAGACTTTGACCTTATAAACTACAGATAGTCGACTGTAGGAAATGGGTCACAACTATTTTCTTTCACAAATAGTGAAAGAATGTAGGCACACTTATAAACATTACCACTGCAGTCCCCCTATATCTTTTTAAGGAAGAAAACAGTGGGATATTTTTCTTTTAAAGGGCGATGAGAATGTGGCAGGGAGCACAGTCCAAATGCCTCATTGCGGAGAGTTCCTAGAAATCTCATGTATGCTGGCTTGAGTTGTATGATGGAAGAAAGGTGGACTGGAAACACACCAAATAAACAAGAGAGGTCAGCCATTGTGTGCATCCACCCAGAGTTGATGCTCCAAGTCTAAATGCAAACGGCCATGCCCAATGCTCCGTCTCCTAGCACAAGAGCCTTTGCACCAGCAGATAGCAGAGTTTAAAGTCTGTGTGACAAAAGCATCAAACACAACAGTTGCACTAGCAGAAGCTGGCCGCACAACAGCTGATTCCTGCTGAGCGAGGTGTTGTAGCCCTAGTACTCAAACATGTGTAGGTTTATGTGTTTGTCTATACAGACCTTCAAGCTGTATTGAGAGCCCAGCAAGGAACTTCGCCTGTTCAAAAGCTTTGGCTGAAAATCTCATCCATCATGCACATTTTGAGCTAGGCTCTAAGGCTAGACAAGTACATCAAGGGTCTGAAAGCTCTCAGGCAATGTAGTCATCAGAGATAGTAGTCTGCACAGCCAGACACATACATCAAAGGTTTGTGATGACATCATAATAACAGCAACAACAGAGCTGGAAATTCTAGCCATACCTGAAGCATTTGCTCCCATTGGTTTCATTTATTCTATCACTGGGCATATAGCGGGGCCACTTTTCTTTAAATTAATAATTATGTTCCTTTGACCAGAAAGAATGAAATTCTAACACGAATATTAGATCAACACGAGCAACTGGGTTTCATGATGACCTGGAATAAAATTTGACTTTGGTTTAACTGCATAAAATACATTCTGGGATTTTACTTCTCTAATGCATAATGGCTGGAAATGAAATAATCCCTTCCTGAGCATGCAAGTTTTCTACTGATTCCTGATTCAGTTTTTGTAAATTCCTCTATGAAATTACCTGATCCACACCTTTTGAACTAATGCATGGAACTCAGCTTGCCGCTGGATTTTGCCCTATGCCAAGCGTTGCAAAGCAGTTTGTGGCAGTTAAAGGTTACAATCCACACA